TCCATTTCAGGCTTACACCAGCCACAGGAACACAGAACACTTCTTGGCTTCGTAATAGTGTTTTGGAAAGAACACCACACACATAGTTTTGGGTCAATGTTTGTTCAGTGACTAACAGCCTATCTGAAGTAAACCATACCTTGTGGACTAAAAGTACTGAAGCATAGAGGACACATCAGATCCAGGTCTTTTCTTTATTTCACTAGTATTTCACTCACATTTAACCACAATCTGTAAAAATACTTACAGGGAGTTTTTAAATTGATTCTCACCACTAAATTTTCATACCTATCAAACAATCAGGGCTTCCACAAGACCACAGCATCTGATCACTCTTACCTTAGATTACAAACCTTAAACATCAAAAAGGATCCCAGAAGCTGGGCTCAGCTTCTAGGAATGGCAATACTGGATCAATCCTGAAGCACAGAAAATTAAGTACAGTTGACTGAAAAAAGTTTGCTGTAATCAGGCTGATACTTAAGAAATGTCTGCTCCGGTTGCATTATGAAGTTAATTGGGTGCAATGATGTTGATTAATAGGTCAGCTTTCACTGAAACTCTCAGATCTTCCTCCAAACAGCTGTTCCGCTTCATCAGTCTCAAGAACCTAAGCATGCTCCATGTTAGGTCCCTACATGGGACCTTAGGGCTCTGCTACCTCTCCCCCACTTTGCCAAGGGTTTGGCTTGCTGTGCTGAAAGCCAACTCTGGTAGCAGTTTGGCCAAATAACTGGGGACCAGTCTGCTTTGAGAAGAGCTGTGTGAGAAAGCTCTGAGCAGCCTTGCCAGAGGCCTGCACCTGCTTTGCCTGGAGCTACGTCACCCTTCGTCCTCGCCTAAGCTATGTCACAGTGTGCCCATGCCTGCCCAAGTACCTCACAGGTCCTGACCTGCTCCCTTGACCTTGGACCTGCCTTGTCATTACAAACTTGTCTGCCTGGTCCATTGGTTGAACCTCATTGCTGTCACCCCACTGCTCTTCTTCCTTGCTAATGGCAGACTGCACCTCTTGTCAGGGAGGTCACTTGCCCCTGCCTGCCTGGTCACCCTGAGCCCCCAGCCTGCCATCCCTCACAGAGCTGCCCACTCTTGCTGCTCCCCAACACCTCAAAAGCAAGGTTTGCAAGGAACCTTCATCCCTCTTTCACCAAAAATCTCTTGGGCTTGAACACGTGCCAGGGAGCCTGGTACAGCCCACCAACTCTAGCTCACCTGTGCCCCAGGGTGCCAGCGCTGGACACCCTGAAGAGCCATGCTCCACTGTTAGCAAAATGCAAATGTCAAACACTTCTCCTGACCAAAGTGAGCAACATAAAAAGAACATCACCCTTTTTCAGACATTTAATAGTTAGATCAAGGCTAGGAAATCCACTTTTCTGGGTACCACAGATTCTAACCAGATGCTGGTTCATGGGAAAAAGTAGCATGAGAATAAATATTAGTTCAATTAATTTATTATTTTTTAAATTTTATACTATCTTTCTGTTTTAGAGACATGCTGGGCATACATCTGCCTGTATTAGAATGATGTGTGCTTCCTTCAAGAATACAGGCACAGCAGACCTTTGGCACTGTAGGCCTTTTTCTGGTTAATTCTCTCTGGTCTTTCAAAATCTGCATCAGCCACTGGTTATCCAGTAGAGCATGAATTCAGTTATAGCCACGATGGAGACTGCATAATGTGCACAAGTGAAGAAACCATTGAAGTAAGAACTGCCAGCAAGGCAGGTGTTCATGGCCAAAGGCAAGCAGATGACTTTACAACACAGTACAGTCTCCCTCTTTGAAGAAGCACATCACAACCAAACAAGTTACGTATGTTGTTCACAAATATTCAGATTCTTGAGCAGGACACTAGAGACAGTTTATATACACTGCACATAAAAACACAGGATACTTGCATGCAAAGCCTTCAGTGCTTTGGAAACCCCAAACAGTAGGGACTATCTTCTGAATAACATAAGCTACTAAAAGTGCATCAAACCTGTCTTCCAGTTTCTGCATTTGCTTCCTGTAATATTTAAATCACAGTCACAATCTTACCTTTCCAGGCATCTCACTGGTTATGCCTAGTATATTCAAACACTATTTCAAGTGTATCCCAGATACCTTTTATGTATGTTTGGACAGTTTGCATGTGCCTTCTATCAGGACAAAGTATACTCCTTTAATCATAAGGCTCCAACCTAAATAGATGATCAGTATTAGCATAATAAGGTACTCTCTAAGTGCACGAAAGCAAAACACTGACCTAAACCAGTGCCAGTCAGGAGAATCTCAAAACAGCATACACTTCTTCTAAGCTGGAAGTCAACTGTTTCAAACTCTGTTCAGTACTACCCTGCAGATGAACCGCATCTTTTGTTTTTTTACTGCTCTCGACAGCCAACAAACTCACTGCTGAAATAAGGCTGCCTTAAACTGTAAATGCACTTCTAGCTCTTGATCAAACATAATGGGATTTAGGCCTACTATGGGGAGGAGTAAACTCCTCTAAATTACTGTTCTTACAGTGTCAGTTCTGTCCACCTAATCCCTAACTCTGTATCAGCCAGAATGGTGGCAATTTTCCACCATTTAACTTTCCACATTCAGTATAGCCATACATATGAAGCAATCACACCTGAACTGCTTGCTGGTAACTTCTAAGAGATAACACAATGCTCCAGGGGAAAGATGTTGCACCAGTACAAACATAACTTGCCATTGCACTTGGATTTCAAATGCTTGAATGTTAGCAAAAGACAAGACTCCAAAAAGAGGGACACGACCTGGAGCAACCACAACTACATTATATTTTCTGAGTGCCTAAAGAGGAGTAATAATGGTACTTCTTGACAGACAGCCTGGGTCAGACTGACACTGGAATACTGGAAAGCTCTGTGTTAAATAAAAAGCATAAGAAGCTTATGAAAAACGCAGAAATTTGAAAGCTAGAAGTAAAAAATAGGTATCGAGAGGCTCATCCTTTTGTTGAATGCAAGGACAGAGAAATGAAAATTACAGTGTATGTTTTAAAGATAATAATACCAGGTGCAAAAGGCATTTTTAAATTAAAGGAAACAATCTAATTAAAAAACAGAGGCAACGAATTAAAGCAGGTAAAATTAAATCAGGGAGAAGAAAGTAAATTTAACCATGTGACTGACTATTCTACCATCTAACAAAACAAAACAAAAAAGGCATCAGGCTACGAGAAACCAAGGTTTTTACTGAAAAAACTATAAAACTTCTATGGTAAATACTGTCTGGGAGACCAGACCAGATTAATAACCTCTCTGGTTTATAAAGCATAACACTTAGGAACCTCCAAGACTCTTTAAAAGATTTACAGTGTTGGGGAGATTCACTGATTCTTGTTGGATCCTAAGTTCACTTTTTTTTTTTTTTATTTAGCAAAAGGACAATTTATAAAGCCTTTTAAAAAGTAATAAATAAAGCTCCTTTAGGATCAAAGGTAAAAATTACTGTGTTTGCTTAAGTAGTAAACTGCTTGTGTAAATTATGGGTTTGAAAGACAAAAATCAAGAAGAGATGCTGTATCCTGGTTAGCAACAAGCATTCTTTCAGGAATCAAAAAAGAAGATATAGAAAAGAACCAATCATTTCCTTAACGTAGGTTCTAGCTTCTTAAGTTATTTAACTAAACTAATCTATTTAAGAATAGGAGGCTACTGGCATGGCCTTAATGTGCTTCTTATGGGAACATACACCACTTGATCTATGCTGAACCACAGCTGGCTTACCAAAACATATTAAATCTGGTCCTAAGGATTCTGAGTAAAGGTAATATTCACAAAATTCAACTCAATAATCACAGAATCACAGAGTGGTTTGGGTTGAAAGGGACGTTAAAGATCATCTAGTTCCAACCCCCCTGCCATCAGCAGGGACACCTTCCACTAGACCAGGTTTCTCAAAGCCTCATCCAACCTGCCCTTAAACACTTCCAGGGAGGGGGCATCCACAGCTTCTCTGGGCAACCTGTGCCAGTGTCTGACCACCCTCACAGGAAAGAATTTCTTCCTAATATCTAATCTGCATCTACCCTCTTCTAGTTTAAATGCATTACCCCTTATTCTATCACTACCTGCCCTTGTAAAATGTCCCTCCCCGGCCTTCCTGTAGCCCCTGTCACTGTTCCAGTTGCTTCCCTCCTTTAGGCCCTCTGCTTGCAAAAGCACTGGACAGTTTGCAGGGGAAAAGGTCAGTACTTGCTCCACTGTTAGTTATTACCCTATAGTATACTTCTACAGCAAAGATTCATTACCCATGGTGAAATAAGTAATCCTACTAAATGTCAGACATGATGTTTGTCTCAATTTTAGAATCTGAAGTCCATAAAGTAAGCACTTGATGTTTTTAAGAAGCATCAGTAAATCAGAAGATCAGTACTGCTATCAGGAAAGTACAAATATTGTGGGCAAATAGAAACACTCTGCTGGAATTTATTTGCCCATCACCTTCTGCTCAAAGGTTTATGACCATTAAATAGTATCTCACATCTTCTACTCTACCAAACCTTCAGGAGTTGGATACATTTGCAAACCTTTTCTTTTGTGGCCTTTCTAAATGTTGGAGATAATACCCAGGTTTCAAGACAAGCGCTTGGGCTGCAATTCTGTTGCAGGGAATGGCAGGAGAAGTGGAGATAGCACAAATGGACCGTGAAATCCCTCCATGCACTTTTGAATACGACTATCCTTCCTAGATTACCTTTGTACACTGGTGTAACAAGAGAGGTTTCCTTATAAAGTGACTTAGAGGAACCTAATCAGGCATTCTCCATTGCCCTCATGACAACCATTTGTACCTCCTCCTGGCTACTAAGGCAACTCAAAAATATAAAGCAAAAGTCAGTTTTTCGAAACACATAATTGTGTCCCATCCTTCAAGAACAAGAAAAGAAAATTTTGTTGTGCCCTTGTAAAGATAAGTTTTTAGACAAAATAACTTACCCTTGATCTTCTATCTAAGCAGTCACAAATGAAGATTTCAGAAAGAAAAAACCCACAGCTCTTAAGTTAAATAAAAGACAGGCAGCCTCGTTGTTTATGTAAATTCTTATATAGAAAACATTCAAGGTTACACAATAACCAGTTGCGGGTGATTTCTGCACAAATACAGTTCACACTGGAGTTTGTAACACACCACACTTGTAGTGTCCTTTGGTCATTACTTTTACTTTCATAAACTTTTCAATAGTCAGTACAAGGTTTAGCAAATTCTGTGTTTTGTGTTCATCAATGAATCAAAATACAAATACACTCGTACTGTGTCCCAATTTGAAAAAGTCTCTTTTTCAAATGAAAAATGAGATAAAAGAAGTTTCTTTAAAAAAAATAAAAAAATAAAAAATAAAAATCAATGAAACAGTCGTCCTCTTCCACGTTTGCTCTTGAGATGACTAGCAGGACGCCTAAGTGTTTTCCTCTCTTGACGATGTAGTTTCTCAGCTTCCTGCTGTTTCTTTTGCTGCTCTGACTGGAATATTAAAACAAAAATAGACTCAGGTTCTTGTAAACTTACGTTATCACCTCATTGTTCAAGTATCTATATGTCAAGACAGAATTCCATTAGGGAAATCTAGAAGTGTTACTGTAAACAGTCCCTGGTATCTTGTCTTATACCATACCTGTTGATTCTGGGTATCCCTAGGCATTACCATTCCAAGTAATTCAGAGTAAACATTTAAGACAAAGATATCAAAAACCAGTGAATAAAATAATGTATTTCAGATGAAAACCGATGTCTAACAATAGACTGTAAAATTACACTCCAGAATTTATGTTTTAATGCCCTTAAGAAAGTAGAGCACAGTTTGAGGCTATTTAGTATATGCTTTGGTTAACTAGTATTACCACATTGCATTTTTGTACAAATGGATTTTAAAAAGACAGAAAAATTAGTTAAAATTGCTGAAATATACAGGTTTTCTAAAAAGTGTTCTTAGAAGTTCTTGAAAGTGTTTGATATGCTGTATGCAATTGTAGAAAGACTTTCCACACGAAAAGAGTTTAAAATATCTGCTCCTGTGGCAAGTGCTGTATTAATGATTTTCTTCTTCATCAAAAACAGGCTGAAAGGGTTTCATTTACATACCACATAGATGAAATGGCTCTTACAGCCATAAACTACTATTTTCTTTGGAAGACTAAGGCTTGTCTTCAAACTAAGCATAAACTGGAACTAGTAGACTTGAACTAGCCAAGTTCAGGTAACTGCCCATGCTATAAAATAAGCCAGCAATTACAGCAATTTCAACGGCAGCAGAGGATAACTGTGTTAGCAGTGTGACTGAATTACTGGATATGCAGCTGCATCTTCACTGCATCCAATTCTGTAATCAGTAGCATCCATACATCAGCCTATCTCTCCCTGAATCTCCCATTAAAGCACCATTTAAACTTGAGCTAGAGATTTGCATGCATAGACAGCGTTTTGGCCAAGGTGAAATATGAACCAATTTACCAAATGTAGCAATAAGGTCACACCAGTAGCATGGTCATAAAAGCTAGTAGTCTATAGGCTTGTTTGAATTCAGTGACTCCTGTTTCCACTGCAAGAAGGGTAACAAGAAACCCACTGTGTGAAAATGTAAGTAGTTTCTCCATCTCTTCAGACTTCATCTGGACTGGTCTTGAGAAACTGTACTTAATTTAATGTTGACTGCTACCTAGTATACTTAAACAGAATGATCTTGATTTGCATTTGAAGCTTCGTTGTTGCTGCTGTTGTGGGTTTTTGTTTTGGGTTTTTTTTTAAACGTCCTCTACACCTCCTTAGTAGTGTTCAGTACTTAGGTATTTTAGAAACCCTGTTCTTTTGTTACATTTGCTATGATAAAGCATGCTGAAGTTGAAAAATAGGATGCCAACCTGTAGGAACCATACTAAAATCCCTTGAAAACTAAACTGTGACATATCAATGACAAACACTTTCATCACTGGATCTGTGAGCAGCTGCTGGGCATTTGGGAGCCTGCTAACAGCCAAGTTCAGTATCAATTCCACTAACTTACAAAGTCCAGTGATACCAACCCTACGGAAGTACAGTTCTTTCCCCCACTAAATCTTTCTATCTACTCTTAACTATTACAGCACTTTAAGGAAAGGGCATCACAAAGCAGAAGCTGATGATCAGAGTAACACTAAAATTCCTTTTTTAGCTTGCCAACTTCAGCTCTTCATCCTCTGAAAAGGAGTGTAAAGACACAGCATAATGCATCGTGTGACTTCTTCCCAGCTCTCCAGGCTCCACTCCCTGGGACTTCAGAACATATACACAGGGTCTGTTTATTTGAGAGAAGACCTGCAAGTCTTATTTTGCTGTTCTGTAGACCGGAGAAAAGATCTCCACTGCAGATGCACTGTTTTTCTTTTAATTAGACTTTTAAAAATCTTTTTAATGCAAATGAGCACAATGCACTTGTTTCAATAAAGCATCATCTGTTAACAGTCAGGAAAAAAATCCATATACATTAGCAGCAACATATTAAAAAAAGACCCTCAAAGCTACAGTATACCTGATAGAAACAAGTAAAAATGGCATTCTGAACCACCACCATATCTGTCTTCTTCCACCCTACTCCCAGATCTTCACAAAACTGTTAGCAAAAGGTGATAGTTCATTGTTCACCATCAACCACAAGAAACCTCATGGCTTTGCACTTTCTAAGTTAAAGCTTCTATAAAAAACCCCTGTGCTTTCTAAGCCCTGCAAAGCCCATTTAATTAGCTGCAAGACACTAACGTATCAGTTACAGCAGTTGATAAAATCTCCAGAATGGTTACCCTACACAGCACTGCAGAGAAATCTGTGACTTATTCCACAGTCAACACATTTTAAATTCCAGCAATACAAGAATCAAAAACAGATGAGAAAGGACATCTGCAAACGGGCAATAATCAGGTAAAACAAGTAAGGTAGAAATAGTCTAATAAATCTGATTATTTAAATTTTTTTTTCAGGCATACCCAATGCGACAATCAAGTAGCTACTGAGCCATTCTTGTGAGAGCAGTTTTGTCAGTGAGAATAATATTTGACTACAGGTAAGGGGAAATGTATGATAGCAAAGAGGCTTACTTGAGGAAAAGCAGTTTTAACTGAAGTACATTTTGTCAGCTCAAGTATCAATTAATACCGATCTTCAGCTTTTATAATGCGTCCTTTCCTCAGTTCTAAAACAATTTTCTAGCAAAAAATCCCTAAGTGTTCTTCAGCAGTAGCAGATGCACACATGCATTTAACTGCCCACGTTATAATCACCTGTCTGCGATCTACAAAATTCCTTAGGCTGGGAAATCAAAACCCTTTGGGAAATGTAGGGAGGCAGCAGTCAACTACTCACTTCAAATGGAATTTGGCAAGTAGAAGAGGACCAGAGCTCATTCTTGTGATGTGTTACACAAGTTCAGTGACAAAGGTGGTTAGGAGCTCTTTTTTTATCATGCTGAAACCTAGTAACATTATCAACCAAGAGAAAGCCTGTCACCTACAGCATCTTGATTGCATTTGGACCTGCAGACCAAGACCGGATCAGTCCTGGCATATAAGTCAGGTAAGGTCACAAGCTTCTGATGGTATGTCTGCAAATAAACTATTAAAAGATGGAAGCCAGTATTTTCCACCGGAACATAAGATTTTATGAGTGTTGCCTGAATTATAAGGGTATAAACAGACAGAGTACTACCGGAGGCTTTCATTCTCTTGGCAAGAAGCAGAAGAGTTGGCAGCTTATAAAGAAATGAAGAGGGACATTTGTTTGACGGTTTTAAAGTTCTTGTTCTTTCATGCAAAAACTAAAGTTACTTGTACATTAACTTAAAAAATTATATATATAGCTCACCTTCTTTAATTTGAATGTTGCCTGTTTGCTGCCTACTGTGGTATCAGACACATCGAGCGTGCCAAGTTTTTCTTCAAGCTTTAAACGATCTCCAAGAGTTTTCCTGCGGAGAATAATTAACATTAGCCCCTATTCTTGCCATCTTTTTACTACAATAAAGGCTGGTAATGCAGTCAAAACTAATCTCTTTTTCTCTGAAATTCTGAAATGCCATAACTCTAAAAAACAGACATTCAGTAAATAGAAAAGACAAGTTCAAATCATTCCCTCCAGATATCGCTTTCAGTAGAAACACTTTTAAAATTTATGTAAAGTTCATAGTTTTTTCTGCTAAAAAAGCAACAGGATTCTAGTTGAGAAAGAAACCACACCCTTCTATTGCTATAGTTTTCTATGAAATTTCTATGAAATGTCAGAAAAAGGAATATTCAGCTGCAGTAATAAGATACATACATAGAAAGAAAAAAACAGTAAGGTTAGATATAGACAGTTTTCTTGAAATACTTTTGAGGGAAGGAAATAATCTTGCCTATACATCAGAATGAATCCATCACCAAATGAATCACTTCACTGATGGAGACAAGCTACTTACTCCAAATACAAATGACTGTTTGGACACTGCGCCAGCAACAGTCTAATGCAGTTTTCTAAATGAAAGAACAATGCAAACAAGTGAGAGTGATAAGTAAGACAGACCCTGACCCCAGAGAGGAGGTCCACACAAAAATACGCCTTCAAGCACATGGTGCTCCTCAGTTAGTTCCTGTAAACAAGCTGGTAGAGAGCCTCTCCCTCAGGCACTGAGCTCTAGCACAGAGGAGGAGGCAGCTGTTGTGGCAGAAAACAATACCACTTTCTGCTCTTTTCCACTGGAAGTTAGTGCCCCTACAAAAGCAAGACACATGGATGTGCCCCAGCTGCTCCAGGTTGTGAGCTGGTATTTAGTATCACCTTGCTGACTTCAGGTAAGTTGGGTTGTAAACTGGGACAGCTGAGGAGTGGAAATACACCTTGTCCCCACATAGCCTCCAGCCCAGGAGTGAGGCAGGCAGGGAGGGTGCTGGCTTCAGCCAGCCTCCTAACAGCACCTGTGAGTCCTAACATGGTTCCTTGTCCTTCTTCTCTCATGTGGGTCCTACGAGCAGGTAGTGCCAACTGAGAATATGACATCACTTATACAATCAGACAAATTCACTCTGTGATATGCTTAGAAAACATTCACCTAACTGTAAATGAAACTACTTTCTGCAATTTGATATGCTGCTATTAGTGCCTTATTAGATCTCTCCAGAGAGGGCTAAAAGACAATTTTTGTACAAGTTTTAAAGTGGAAAATAAGTAATCACAGAAATACAGATGATTAGCAGCCAAAGTCAATGGCATTTACCATGGATGAAGGGCTCATAGACTGTGGCGTATGCATGAAGTCTCTGAAGTCTGCTGAATTTTGGTTAATGAGCCATTTTATGTAACAAAGACTTTTCAGATTAACAATGAAAAATTACTGTCAAGAATTACTTTCTTTCTCATGACTAGGTACTTTGTATTTTTTTCTGTAGTATATTTTTCATTGAGTACATGTAAAAACTTGTTCCATCTGTGCGAATCGGGAAGACAAGCTAAGCCTTAGAGCTAACTATGGCAGAAGATCAGTCACTGACATTGTGGTGGGATTTCTACATTCAAGTGAAGTCCCATTTTTCTCCCCTTTGAAAGTGAACTGGAGAAATATGGCTACTACCCAGCAATTATTTAGCATGACTGCCTAGATACTGCTTCAGTCAGGAGAAAAATTAAAATGAGGAGCAAAACGCTGTGGGGTTGCAATTTCCCTGAATAAATGCAGGTATGGCTACATTTATCTATAAATGTGCAGACCTCAAATGATAGTGAATTGCACACAAACACTTACAAACTCACTGTTTGTTTTTCTGGGTTTTGTTGGGGTTTTTTTTTAAATCTTCCTCAACAAATTGATTCAAGGGATACATTAATGGTGTTATTTGTTATTAAAAGCAACTTCCCTTGCCCTACAGTAAAAACAAACAAACAAAAAAATTGCCCAGGCACTTCTCTCTTCCTCATTATAAAGAGAAAAGTTTTTCAGGACTTTTCCTGCTGTTTTACTTTAGCAATACCTAGGAATGTCAACAACGCTTTTGTTGACTTTCTTGGCCACCTCTGGAGACATATACATTGACTGTCATACTTCATAAAGTACGACTACTGTAGTTTTTAATTTTGACATGCTCTGACTTCAGTAACAAACCTTTCACAAGGACATAAAGAAAACCAAAAGAGCTCTTAGCACACTGATAAAAACCCTTTCCTTTTATGGATTCCTTTTAAGTTATTATGTAAGGAGCTTATGCCGTAAGTAAACGGAGCAAAGCTTTGCAGGTTTTCATGTGTAAGCATAAGAGTGTAAAAGGGGAAAATGCAATGTAGCCGGATGAGACAAGGTGTTTTTTACAACCATGAGTAAATTTTGCTGCTTTCCTGTGCAAAGAAATGGGTAGACTGTTGGTCTACAAATAAATTTATAGTACGCACCACTGCTTTAGAAGTTGGGCTTGGAGCTGTGCTGAGTCAGGAACATGTCAAAAGAAACACCCAGTTTTATATAAGTCATAAACTGTTTCCTCAGGTAGAACATTATACGATTAGAGAAAAAAAGAACACCTAGCCATTAAATGCATAGTGAAGGTATTAAGGTACTTAATTATATTGGTCACAGACCATCATTCCATAACTTGGATAAATCAAATCAAAGACAAACATGCCAGCCTCACCAGATAGTACATGCCACTACAGTCTTTCAAATTTTCAGTACATTACTTGAATGAATTATTTTTATGCTGACTACTTACCACTGAGTAAGGCCAGCAGAAAACACATTTAAGTACTTTCTTCATAAAATTCTAATGTATAAAAAAGCTTATGAACCAAACAAGCTAGCTCAAAACACAGACTAAATCATTATGATTACAGAATCAGATCAGCTATATTTTATAAGAAACAGATACCAGCTTTTAATTTTTAAATTTCTTCAAACAATATAAGGAATATCAAACTCCATACCAAGAATAATGCTTGGATGATCACAAATGGTATCAGTGAGTATACAGCTAATTGCTTAAATGAAAATTAAAAAAAAAATCATGGAAAAACAATTCAATGACAGCAACTAAAAAAACCACAAGGGATGTAATGCTGTCATATCCACCTTTAAAAAAAAAAAAAATAAATCTTACACTACGTTACCCTACCCTACCACACACAGGGTACCTAACCTCAATCAATTATGCATCACACCTTGCAAATATTCTGCAGAGAATTAGCAGCAAATCTTGGGACAGATTCTATTTTCCCCAAAAGCAGTCTTTTAAAAGTCTTTCCATGGTTTATGTCATCATTGATATTCCTCCATCCACTGGACAGCTCTGTGGTATTTGCTTCCATTTTTCGCAAGCTGAAACAATGATTTTTCTCCCTTTATACACCAGATAAAAGAATTTACTTTGTCCTGTGTCATACTGTACTAGTTTTTGCTAAATGTTTCTCTTCCTTACACCTGTCTTGGTTTATTTACTTAACTTTCAGTATCGTTGTTCACATTTAAGCCTTCCATGTTTTGAACAAAATGAAATCTTAATACTTCAAATTGAGTGTCCTTGAGAATTTCCTTTAGAGGTCGGCAGCTGAATTTACTGTAAAAGAACAGTACGTGAGCAGGCTGCAGCCACAGCCTTTTAGGAATGTATTTAAAAAGCAATGAGAATAAAGTGCCATTTGACCAGTGTCTCTCTCCTCACTTGCTAACATGACTATAAATCTAAGTACAATGCAAAAAATATTCTTAACCTACAATATTCTGTCAGAGTGTCCCGAGTGGATTTTCTCCTGACAAAGAAGAAAAACTGATAAAAGTAAAAAGTTGCTTCATCTTCTGGAAGAAAGAAAGAAAAATAATCAGAAGAAAGTTGATGGAGAAATCTAAAAGTTAAAGAGTCCAGAATGAGTGGGTATATTCAATACAAAGAACAAAGAAATATCCCTGTGTGAAAACACTTGCTGATAAAAAACAGCTAAAGAAAACATAGGAATCAGTTTGCAGAACTGCTATAAATCCCAATTTGCAAAAACTACTTCTGTTTAAAGAGGTCTTACAGGTACAACATGAAAATCATAGACTACAGGACTACTGTAGAAACACTGTCTCAGTACTACTTAAAGACCATTTTAGATGATAATTCCAGTTAAAAACTTGCACATTTAAGGGACAGGTTGAATTTTTATCAAACGTTTCCTTACATATCTCCAGAAAATTTCCATCATGAAACAACTAGGTTGTAGAGTCAGCCCCATTACACAGATTATTCACTTCCTTTTCCCTTGACTGTATCATTTAATTCTCAGTAAAAACATAATGGCTATTACGAGATTCATCTAGCCCAGCAACTTGTTTCCAACATTAGTCAAAGTTCTGCTCTGCATCCAGTGTGCTGCAAGAACTTTGAAGCTATTGTCTTTCAAGGTTTTAATATTAATGTTTGCGTGCCAAACAACAAAAGGCTATTAAATTTCATATTCTGAAGGTTTCAACTCAGCTCTGGAAAAAAAAATTATCAATGAGATTTGCAGGCATTAAGCACCTCAAAGCCAAATCCTTCAGTTTGACATGTTCTTTATCCAGTACCCAATTTCTTCAGTTGATCATCAATTTAAGAAAATAAAAAAAAAAAAGAGTCTGATTTTTTTGTATTGAAAAAACAAAACCAGAAATAGTAAGACCTGACAATATAAGGACAGCATAGTTTTCTGTAAGTTTCTGGATCCCATAAAAATACCAAGACGAAACAATTTTGCTTTTCCACCTTGATCCAAAATAGTGACTAATCATGCAGTATTCTACATCCTTTTAGAGGGTCAGACGGAAGACATCCAGACTGTCAACCTCACACTGTCACTGATGGAGACATATAACCAGTCTCACAGACATCAGTGTTGTTATTTGGGTGAGTAGCAGTTCACCAACACTGAGTAACGGATCCCCAAATTCGGCTCGGAATATCAATCTCTTTCTTATCTCATCTTTGTTGTCTGTCTGCCATACTTTAAACATTATATTTGTTAAACTACAAAACAAAGCTTTCAACAACTATGTCCCTTTAAGTTATATCTCTGAATTGCCAGATGTGGCTTTACTAGTAAGTGCTTCCAAGCCAAAATGCCACTGGCCTGCATTGTTGAGAAATACTTGAGAATTGCCTACCCCCAGCTATTAAAATAGGAACATTAGTCTTACTTCATTAATTTTTGTTTTTTGGCAGAGTCTTTGAAGCTTCTGAATTCCTCTCCTTCTTTAATCTCAAAAAACTGAGGTTTCAGTAATGTTTGCTGATCCTCCTTGAACCTTTCCTGCCGCTTTAGTTTTTCCTCTTGGCGTAGAAGCTTGCGCTGTTTCCTGACCTCTTCAACCCAGCCTTTTTCATCATCTGAACTCTCAGAACTTTCTGCATCACTTGCTTTTCCTTCTGGTTCTTCCTCCTCTTCCTGCCGACAAAAATAGTATAAAATAGGAAATTATCAACTAACTTTCTTTTCAAACCACTCCTGCAATTAGGGTACGTGACAGCTTTTACACAGATACAGCTGAACAAAACTAAAATTTGAACAAAAGCAGTAACAGCAAATGAAGCAGAAGACACATTATAAAATTGTTTCCATCTACCTATTTTATGTTTTTCAAACCTGTATTCATGCAGACACAATATTGTTCACATCTAAAAACGAGGATAATATTATAATTACACTTAATCACTGTAGCTGATAAGACATTCCTGCATTGCTCCCATCTTTCCTTCTTTCTAGGGCAAAAAATCCGAACGCTTGAAACAAAGAAAAAAACCAAACCTATGGATTTTTCCTAATCCAAATGGAAAATATTTTACCTGTTCTCGTGCTTCCAGTTCCTGTAACATCTTTAGTTTCCTCTTTCTTTTCTCACTTATTTTAGAAACAAGTGGGTTAAGTAGCCTAAATTCTTCACTCTGCTCATCCACCTGGAAATCTGGATTCTCAAACATGACCTTAAAACGATCATCCTTGAGAAGGCTAGGCAGATTCTGGAAAAAAAGCAAAGCATGAGTGAGTTATAAAATTCTGAAACAGACATTGGTAAAGTAACTAACACCTTTTTAATTAAACAAAATTCAAAACGAGCATGTGAAATGCCAGGTGCTTTATCCTTCCAGGTCATATAAAACAAGATTTATGCTTATTATATTTTATTACTTTCACAAAGATCAAATAAATACCATTCTGAGCTACCTGTAAGCAAGACAGGGTTTTTTTATGCATACCATAGACACCTTAAATACACTATTTCTAATATTTTTGAATTAATGTTTCTCATACATTCAGCCAGGTAGTCTGGAGACGTGTTGATATCGATTGACTAATCAGCAGTACCTCCAAGGCAAATACCCTGCCTGATGGGCAGCGTATTCTACAACATGTACAACAAATTCTCAGGGTAAGCATGTCTTTATGCAATGTTACTACCGTTTTCCTGTAAATACATAAGAGTATTACATCTTGTAACACTTTTTCTTCACTGCCCTCACATACAGAATGGAAAAGGCAGTTTAATTCATGTCAAAGTAAATTAATTCAGTGTAAATAGAACTGCTGAATTAGGAACAGTTCAAGCTACAATTTCAACTTATGTGAATACCTGTTGTCATCATTTTAAAGTCACCGAATATGTAGCTTTTAATTATAAAAAGCTGATCTTTCAACATTGCCAACCTTATACCAGCACATTCATCCCACCCCAGCATTACATTGTCATTGTTATCTAAGAAGTGGGGAAAAAAGATACAGAAAACAACAAGCGTAAATTTCAAACACAGAAACCATTGCAAATATGTGACTTGCAGTCACACAGTCAAAAATTAAATCCCAAAGCCTAAAATAAATTGCTCTTCATAATAATCTAATACCATTTCAGGAAAATAACCAGAACATGCATTTTTATGCATTTTTATACTTTCTTTAGTCCACTTAACACAATCTGTATGTACTCCCAAACATATCAGCCCCCATTTATTGAACTCATATTTCCATTGTAACACTGGCTTAAATAGTGTGTATTTAAGGTTTTACCACCACCTACTTTTTCAGTAGTTCAAGCTTCCTACTAGCTGATACACACAGGATTTCATTAGATGCCCCATGAAGCTAATGCCTGCCTTTCATGAATGCTGTATTCCTGTGAGAATGAGCACCTACGAAGTGTTACCTATGGAAAGGCCTCTTCTCCTACTAGATATTAAAAATTAACTATTTTTTTTCCTTTAGACTTTGCTTAGAATAAAAATGGATTATTTTCACTGTCAGGAAGAATTCCCGTTGCATAAGAGCAAACTATTTGGGCTATTTTATAAAATGTCGTTAACCGTGTACACCAAGAAAGGCAATTGTATCTTCAGTTTTACAGATAACACCTATCTTGTCAAGCTCATCACAAAATACTAACAAATACAAATAACAGGTCTTTTTCGAACAACTTTGGTACTGACTCTGAATCGAGCTAGCTTCTGGAGTTGTACCAAGTCCACATCATCTTCACAGTGAGTATGTCATCATTTTTAGTTTTACTACATGGCCTTTTTGGTGCTGCAACTACAGTGAAGTCCACCTTAAAGCTACTTACCAGAAGTTGTTATTATGAGAAACAACGGAATTTTGAATCTGTTTGGCCAGATAACAAAAAAACCCCAAACCAAACCAAACAACAAAACACACCAACAACAACAACAAAAAAATTCAACACTAAGTATTACTATTTCTGTGCTCCCAGTTAGGGAAGTCTCCAAAACAAAAGCTCACCTTCTGTTTCCTTTTTCTAGTAACCTGTTGCTCTTCTTCTTCTTCAATCAGTTTGAGTGCAAGCTCTTTATTGACTTTTGGAAGTTTCTAAAGAGAGGAAAACAATTAATCAGTAAATTACTCTTTTAGACGTGCAAAAACCTACATGCTTTACATTCGTAAGTGTGGTGAAAACAGAATTCTTCTTCATTCTTATAGCTCTTGCTGAAAAGCTCCTTGACTGGTTCCAAGTATTTTTAGGTACTAGTAAAGCGACATTGCTTGGAGAAAATTTAAGCAGAACTTCTGTACTGTTTTTTCCTTGTAATGCATCAGCTTTAGTACTTTAAAAGCAATTATTTTTCCTTGCATGTTGAGCAAATTCAATCTAGAAAGGTACTAGTTACAAAGACAATACTATTTTTACTTTCCAGAGTATTATGTTTTAATGGCTTAAGTCATTTAGTTTAATAACAGAAGTAGAAACTGCAAGTTTTACCACTGGGTTATCTGCTCAAGTGGCAAATTGTGATGAGAGCTGCTGTTTTACAGTTTGGTATCAATCCTTCTCATCTGTGCGAATTTTACGGTTCCATTTAAAAAGTTCTATAAATTACTTTGTGTCTCTGATGATAAACAGCATCAAATCTTAAGTCATTACATCTCTGAGATACACTTAAGAATACATTACTCTTTATTAATAGTTTTCCCAGAAGTATACTCATTGTTTACAGGATTTACCTTTAGTTGAACTCTCTGTGCACGTGTTTCTTCTATCTTCTGCCTTATTTTCTCTCTTCTGTATTCTTCATAGGCAAAGGGGTTGGCCATCATTTTTGCCTTTGAACAAGCAGGAGGAAGTAAAAAGAAAATATCATTAGTAGCGGACACAGTCGGTTATTTGGAGGGGAAAAAAAAAAACACCATAAAACAAAATACAAAAAAAAACCTCCAACAAAAACCCAACATCCATATTTTACTGTTAAGAGTAAAAATTGACAAGGATCAGACTTATTTACCTTATGATAAAGTCTTATGTCCATGAAAAAGCCATGCATATACGCTCTGAGCAATGATGATCCAATGAGATGAGCAAGGCCTGGGAAAAAAGTTAGAGAGGATTTCAAAGAGCTTTCATATATAAAGAACTCCTATTCCAAGCTAGCCACTTCACTTAGCCGACTCAAGACAAACAAGCACTGCCAACGCAACACATCAATTTAACAGTCACATCCATTACATCAAGACCAAGTAAAACCACAAAAAAAAAAAAGAAAAAAAAAAGAAAAAAAAAATCAGTTTGGCCAGCAAGAAATTTGAGCTTCTTCAGAGCAACAAAATCCATTTTTCTTGTCATAATACGTGTTACTGAGTGCTTATTAAAAAATGCCCACATGCACTATGCTCCATAAAAATTTACAAAGAAAAATTTGGGAAGATTCTTTTTCAAAGTCCATAGATGTTTGACAATCACTTTTTTAGTGTGGTATAGAGATGTTTTTAATTAAAGAGTTTTGCCTTGGGTCACTATCTTTGAAGACATAACATGTTGAAAAAAACACAGTACCACATCAGGTCATAAAACTGTCACCCTAGGCCCTAACCTAAGTAAGAATGAAAATACTTAAGGGTTCTCTGATTTTCCTTCCACGTATCTTCACAAAATTCCAAGACTAAGAAAAGGAAAAGCTTTTTAAAGCAAAATATCCTCTACAGACCCCAAACCTTTAGAAATTAAAAAATTAACAAATTTCTTCTAGAACCAAATAGCAAAAAAAGTGAGAAACCACTGTGTGTCCCAGAAAGCCAAGTTTGTCTCTCAAAATTTTTTTAACTGTTTCCAGGAAACAATCTTTTTGTGTATTCCAAAATGAGAGCACTCTAGCTAATAGCTAGTAATGAAGAAACCTTGACATATTAAATACAAGATATTCCTTAAGCTTGTTCTTCATTTGAAAGCTTGCATTTATAGGGAAATTAATTGGACATAGTTATAGTGAATTTGAAGCAGAATAAGTATTCCCAGTCAAGTCTCTGTGTAGGTAACACTACAGTGCCTTATTCCCTTATGACTGGGATAGGGGTCTGCAGACTACATTCAAACCTCCTACTCCAGAACTCTAACGCTGAAGATGTAGATGCTTTGGAGGACCTCCTCCTTGTATGGCCTCCTGCCAGGCCAAACACAATTCCCATACCCAGAGGTAAATTAATCAAACTATATTGGAGGAAAACTTTGCAATCAAAACACATAACGGATAGAAAAAGGACTAACTACCTCGGGAGAAGCATGCTTACTTACCTCCTCTGCTATATAATTTTCAGCACTGCAATTCCTTGAAACTGTGTTTCTATTAGCCCTAGAATTATTTGTATTTTCTGGAAATTACTACATTCAGTTAGGGAAGATTAGGGAACTTTGGCAGATTCTGCTGTTAGTTCCAACGTACTATTTGAGCACCTCAAAAATATTTTGAAAACTAAATCAACTTCTCTTCCTATGCCTTCCATTTAATGTCTGAAAGCACACACAAAAGATTCCTAGACATATTAAATCAGCAAATATCAATCATCTTCTTGGGATAAAAAACTGAGAAACACAAATATCTAGTGTAGCACTGGATGGGAACCAAAGAACATAAAGCCATCAGTCTGGTATATTAATAACCAAGAAGACTAGAGGAAACTATTACCAGTTAATTTCTACGAGTCCTCATACGTCACACTGCAATTACAAAACTTACATGTGCAAATGATCAAAAACTGAACAAAGAAGTCAACTAAAGAGGATATTCGACTGATTTACCTAAATTTTCAAGGTCCTTTCTGGTAACAAATTTGTAATCATCGTAAACTGTGCTCTCTGGATTCTCTTCCAGTTCTTCAGTCAAGTTATCCAAGAAGGAACACCACTTTGGGGCAGGCCCTAAAACCTGGGGATATTATAGAAAGTTATAACATTGTATATTCTTACAGAAAAAACCTACACTTAGGCTCTCAGCTACTGTGCTGTAATGGAATAACAAATGAATCCTTCTGAAATCAAACAGACCGTAAGAGTAACAGCAGTTACAGAACACAATTAAACCTATTGCTTGCACTACCAATGAGGAGTACCACAGATTATGTAAGCATTATTTTAATTTGGGTCATTTATTTGAGAACAACAATCTAGAGATGTCAAGTTTAACTGTGTCAAGTGGTTCCAGTCTGATTGTTTAGTTTATTAAAAGCTCAGAGCCAAACGTTATAGATAAAATTATGAACTAATGACACTAGAGAGCAACTAATCTGTAAAGCACTGTTAGATCTTGAGCTCATAAGGTTCACTACGCAACCATGTTAAATCCTATTCTGCCCTATTTATTTTAATTAAAACACCACGGGTATATTTCATGTATTTTTATTCAAGGACCCAGACTGTATGAACAGGTAAACGGAAATATTAAAAACTTGCATATTTCCACCATGAGGCAAAGGATTTATTTGAACAATATTTTGTTGCACTATCAATGTACTTTTCCACATAAGCTTCCTCTAATTTCCCAAGTTAACAGTTAGCTCCCCTCACTTTTCCCTCCTGCTGTTCTGACTGAAATTCCTCTCTATCCTGATGCATGCAGCTATACTCAACTGTTCCAGTACTATTATTTTATATGAGTTAGCTGAATGGAAAAATCCAACACTACATTTTTCTCTATAGAGCAAATCAACTGACATTTTAGAATGTAAAGTGGCCAGTTAACTCCTAGAGTGGGACTTCTAATGAGGCTTCTGATTTGTTTGCTAAAAAGGTTGCATTAAAAACTCTGCAGCCAACATGACCATAGGAATGGATGTGATTCAGCAACAACATTTTAAGATCATATTAGATTGTGGAAACAAGCAGAACTTATTTTTTATATATAAAATACATATAGTTTGTTTTAACACGATAGTGTGGTAACAGTATGAGATAATGCTGTTCATTTAAAAAGAAGTGTGTTACTACTCATTCAAAAGTCTTCAAAAGCAGACAACTAGACACAAAAAATGTAAAATTGTATTCTAGACATAATATTCTACACTGTAACACTCCAGATGGTATTGTATTTTAGACCACTATTGTCTCTGTATCAAGTATGATTTATCTTTAAGATTTCAGCCCTAGCTGAGAACCACAACAAATGAAAAATTGCCTTTTTTTTTTTTTTTTTTTTACAGTGCTGCATATTTTATTCCAACTAGCAAGAACTTCCAAGGAAAAGACCTAACATATCACTAACAGGATACTAACTAACAGTTACCTACTTAATGAATTAACCAAATCTCTGTGCCTGCTCCAGTAATACTCAGCTTAAACACTATATAACATTCAGATTGATTTCTTGCCAACACTGCAGAAGCTTTTGTCTCCATCTTTGACTCCATCCGGATTTTAATTTTTTCAGTCATTTCCCCCAAACCCACTTCAAATCTAAATGCCAAACTTTTATATTAATGAGAAAGCGGTCTAGACATATTACATGTACCACTGGTTTCATGCCATTCAAGAAATCAGTTATCTGTGCTTCATTACCAGACCAAAGCATGACTGGGGTGGAGGAATCTTCTCTAAAGTTTACCTTTAGTTTTGTTTTGGACTAAACCATTTGTCCTTCTTATAAAAAACAAGTTGCTTACTAACTAAAAAGAAAAAAACAAACAAACCAACTTCTCTGGTAATAAAAAATTTAAGTACAATTTGCCGCAGATTATCAGAAACGAGATTATAGAATCCTTGACTCATGTCTATTCCCATTAAAAGTTCCCCTTCATTGCTTACTCACCACGTTAACCTTTTTCATCACTTCCATGCCTACAACACAATTTGCTCAAGCCTTACAAAGTGCACATTACTCATTTGAACTCGGGCCACTCCAACCAGTTAGGGTAATCCCACAATGGAATCTTTACTGGTGTAAAACGTTCAATGAATAACTAAAGCAGAAGTCTCACAAATAAGGGAAAAACAGTTTATCTGCTCTTCAGTTGTAGTTCCACTCACTGCTCCAAGCTTCTTTGTACTCCAAACCTGATACTGAGAGTAAAATCTTTCATGGCATGTAATCTGTGCCATGAAACACAAGGCCAAAAGACCCAATTATTCCTTATAATCTCTGGGGTGAGTTGGACGATCAGATCATAAAAAAACAAGGGGGGGCGGGAAATGAGATAATTAACGGAAAAAAGCAGCAGCAGAATACCAGGAAAAAATAGGAAGTCCAACAATTATTCAAATTTCATATGTAAACTGTCAAAAAGGAAAACCCTACAGAGATGTCTGAGTATGTCTTATTGCCTTATTTCCCTCTCTCCCACCCTATTGAAACCTGCACAAGTGGGACCCCCAAGAGCTCCTGCCATCCACCACTGGCACCACCACAGCCCAGTGAGCAGACCCTGCCAAAACTGGCAAAACAGCCACAAAGCTGTGCAGTTTGGGTAGGCTAATTAATATACTCATCAATTGAGATTGGGAACATACAATTCTACCATATCTAAAGGAGAAAAATGCACTGGCATGCACAGCAAGAGTAAGAAAATGTTATTGAGGTAGGTTATTGCATGCAACTAAAGTGACAGATCTCATTTTTACAATATTTATATTATACAAAGTAAGTTTTTCTGCAAGTTTTCAAAAAGTTGCACACAGCTAATGGGAAAAGCGTTATTAACCGAGTGCACATCTACACTTGGCTGCTACTCAAATATTTCCTAAGAGAGGAAAACCAGACATCATCACCAACAGGGATCGAACCAATATTTTTACTGTTTTCATTATTATTCAATTTTTCAGTAGGATAATCACTTGTTGAGACAATTTCCACCAATGGCTACTGCAAGTCAAGAAGCCTGGCTTTGAAAATACTTTTGCATATTAACAGAAGAGCCCCACCTGCGGGCTATGGCCTGCTGGCAGCAAGCTGGGGGGCTGCTTCCTGCCCTCCTCCTTACTGGGTTCTATGGACCAGAAGCTCAACATGAGCCGGCAACGTGCGCTCACAGCCCAGAAGGCCAATAACTGTCTCCTGGGCTGCATCAAGAGCAGCGTGGGCAGCAGGTCGAGGGAGGTGATTCCCACTCTCTACTCCACTCTTATGAGACCCCACCCGAGTACTGCATCCAGTTCTGGGGCTCACAACATAAGGACATAGACCTACTGAAGTGAGTCCAGAGGCCACAAGGATGATCTGAGGGCTGGAGCACATCTGCTGTGAGGACAGGCTGAGAGAGTTGGGGCTGTTCAGCCTGGAAAAGAGAAGGCTCCAGGGAGACCTTCTAGCAGCTTCCAGTACCTGAACGGGCTACAGGAAGGCTGGGGAGGGACTTTTGACAAGGGCAGATAGTGATAGAACAAGGGGAAATGGCTTTAAACTGAAAGTGGGGAGGGTTA